CTCAGACCGGATCGCGCGACGCGCGACATTTTGCTGCACTACAAATCAAGGATATTCCCTCGCAAGCAGATCGGCAGAGCGCACTCCGAAAATCGAGTGTATGTCCTGGAATTCGACATCCCCGACTCCAGCGGCAATTCTCACGAGCTAATCGACCTCGTGCCACTGCGCTTCGAGCACATTCACCGCAGGGACTGGAAGCACCTTGACGGAAGGCCGTGGGTACCGAATCACCCCCACCCACGTGAAACGACGCTGCATGACCCTGACCTAGACGGCATCTTCAGGGATTGCCACACGCCAACAACGTCAACCAGTGCAATTGCCGGCCGCGGACTCGCCGCCATCGCCAAGACCGAGCGGCACGCGCCGCAAGAAGAAGGAATGTCATAGCTGGAGCTTCAAATTACCACGCGCGGCGTGTTCGGCACACCAGAACATCCCCTCATTGGACCCCCCTCGCAACATCTTCAAGGCATGCTGCGCGGCACTAGCGTCGGCACCTTCGATGTGCACAACGTCCCGCGACACTACACGTACGAGAAGTTCTTGGAAATTTACTCCCACCGGCGCGACTCGACGGCGAAGCTCACCGTCGAACAAGAAGAAGAACTGGCGCGCCGCGAAGCTGAGGAGCTTCGCCGGCAAAGTCTCGCCAAAGCACGCGGGATATTCGCATGCGCGGCATGGGAAGCCGACAAGGAGGAAAGCGCCTCCAATGAAGGGGGGTGGGGAAGCGCTGGCGGATGGGGAATGGCTGACACCGGTGGTTGGGGTAACACCGGCGGAACCTGGGCAACCGCATCCGGCGCCGCATTTGGTGGCGAAACGAGTGGCTGGGGCACTTCTGCCGGAGGCAGGGATGCTTCCCACGAAGAACAAAAGGGGGGAGAAGAAGAAACTGAGGGGACACTTGCACTTGTTCCCCTTGGTCGCCCCCCACGCCATGCCCGAATCGCATTACCTCCCAGTGACACTCCGTCGTATCGCGATCCCTGGGACACCATCGATTGGGGCAACGAGCCGTCGACCCCGCGTCGCACCATCTACGGACCTGCCCCCGAACCACGTGAACCCACCTTCGTCCCCGGAACTATCCCTGGGACTAACATTCCCCTCTCCGAAATCTGCGACAAAGAGTTCTTGGCGCTCATGCTCACCACTGGCCCCGACGAAAACGAAGCAGCAGAAGAAGCAGCAGCAGAACCTGCCCCAGTACCTAACAAAGACCCTGAAGAAGCTCGTGCGCCCTACATGCGCACCTCTGGGTTCCGTGCCGACGACGCGCTCTGGCACCAGCGCCTCGGCCACCCTTCCTGCGCGACACTAAAAAACCGCATCGACGCAAGCGTCTTCGCTCCTGGAGCGCTCCTGCGCCCAGATGGCACCGAAGTGAGAGGCGTGACACATCCGCGCAACTGCACCGTCTGCCCTGAAGCCGCGCTAAGCCACCAGCCGTTCCCGCTGCTTGAGCCAGGGACGAACTGTTACCCCAAGCTTCACAAGGTGTATAGTGACTTCCTGAACGTAGGGCACTGCGGAGTCGACGACAAAATGTACGCGCTTACCTTCATCGACGCCGGAACGCGCTATGTGTGGGTTGTAAACGTGGAATCGCGCAGCAAAGCTTACGAGGTATTCCGCCTCTGGCTGGCGCATGCGCAGCGGCACTCCGGGGAGAAGCTGAAAAACTGGCAATCTGACGGCGCAGCGGAATTCAAGAGCAACGACATGCAGGATTTCTTGGCGCAAAAGGGGATCGAGCACCACGTTTCTCTCCCCTACGCGCACCAGCAACAGGGCGTAGCTAACCGGACGAATCGCACCCTCATGACGAAGGTGCGCGCGCTGATGAAGCAGTCGAAGCTGCCGCCAATCTATTGGACCTACGCGATGCACCACGCCGTGCGGATGCACAGTCTGCTATCAACCACTGCCATCACCGGCAACCTGTCCCCGCATGGGAAGTGGACGAGGACCAAGGGCGACACCTCCATGCTCCACGTGTGGGGGTGCATGGTGCGATACCGCCCGCCTACGTCAACCATCTGCAAATTCGCGAGCCGCGCGCGATGGGGCATTCCCCTCGGTATTAGCCACGAGCACAAGGTGTGGATCGTGCTAGACTTACTCAGTCAGAAGACCGCCCACGCTCGCGACGTCATTTTCTACGAATGCCTCTTCCTCGAGCAGTTCCGCCACGACGAGCAGACAAATGCGAACCGCGTCTACGCGAACGACAGGCACAGCTATGCATCGCCCGAGGACGAAGCCGCCACAGCAATCCTGGAGCAAGACACCAGGGGCGAGTTCACGAGAGGTGATCGCCACAGCAGCGACGACGACGACGATTCCTCTGGAGGAGGAATGGGCGGAACAAGTAGAAGCGGCAGAGGCGCAGCTCCACCAGCACCTGAGCCAGAGAGCGATGAAGATGACGTACAGGAAGTCATCCCGCAGCATCGCCACAACAGCACCGTCTCTGGGCTGCAGCTACTTGGGCTACACACCGCAACCTCAAACGCATCACGTGTCATCGAACCACGAAACCCGTGCCAAGCCCTCACTGGACCACACAGCAAGGAGTGGCGCGGGCAATGGACGCGGAAATTAAGGCGCTCGAGTCCCGTGACACCTGGGTTTTAATCGACCGCGCAGCAATCAAAGGTGCAAGAATCCTTTCGGGCAAGTGGGTCTTCCGTGTGAAGACCGCAGCGGGCGGAACAATCGAACGGTTTAAGGCACGCTAGGTGGTGCGTGGCTATGACTAGAGGCATGGCATCGACTTCGACCAGACGTTTGCTCCGTTCAGCCGCCACACCTCCGTCCGAATCTTGCTCGCCCTGCACCACTCTCTACTCCCTACCGAACTCATGGACCGAACCACAAACCTGACAACAAAAGCCTATCCCCCGCTGGCATCCAGACTTATCAGCAGCAGCTGGGATGCCTTCTCTTCGCCTCTGTCACCTACAGGCCCGACCTCTCTTACATCGCGAGCCAACTGGCTCAGTACTCCCGCAAACCAACGGCTGAGAACCTTCTGGACCTGCAGCGCGCCTTGCAGGTTTTCATCTCAGCGCCCAAGATCGGGCTGTGCTACTCAACAGTACCCACCTCATCGTTCAACCTCATCGGCTACGTGGACGCGGATCACGCAGCAGATCCTGACAATCGACGGTCCAAGACTGGCTTCCTATTCCGGCTCGAACCGACGGGACCAATTTCGTGGAACTCACAGAAACAGGAGCTGGTTGCCTTGTCGTCGGCTGAAGCGGAATTCATCGCAACAACAGCAGCAGTTCGCGAAGGCCTCGATTTGCAGGAACTTCTGCAGGAGGCGAAAATTCCAGCTTTGCCCACCTTTCGCCTTCACTGTGACAACCAGAGCGCGATTCGCATCGCGAACAAACCTAGTTTCGTCAACCGAACCAAGCACATCGCGCTACGGTACTTCTTCGTCAAGGACGAAGTGGACAAGGGCAAGGTTGACTTGGTCTACTTCCCGCAGACTTCCTCATGAAGCGACTGCCACGCCAACAGTACCAGCACTGCTTCGAACTTAGCAAAGTAGTCAAGCAGGTCAAGTCGAGCTACGGCCAGGAGTGAAGGGGGGTGTTACGAATTGTAATGTATGAACATTACTGGGCACTCCTTACCGCAGCTAAGGAAGAACGCAGAAACGAGAACAAATGCGAGGAGTCAGAATTGACTCGAAACGTTAGACGGTTGGGGTGGATATAGACCATTGGAGCAAACGGCATCGGGCAAATGCAGTAAGGAGGAATTGGGCGGGAACAGTTTCGTAACTGTACGCGCCGCACGGTTGGGAATGAATTTGAATAAGGGAATGTACCCCTTATAGCACATGGCTAGCTAGGTCGATTCGAATTCCCCTGTACTCAAATTTATATCTTTGTATTTGCATGTTTTAACCATCTCAAGCATTTTACATTCACTCTACTATTGAGGTCAAGGGCCCACCAACACTACCTAGCTGTCTGCGAACCTTCCCGAGGCGATCCTGGCTTCGATCAACTTACGATCGCAACATAATAGACCTTGGGTGCATTCTAAAATCATGAAAACAATAGAGGTGTGTACACTATTTGAAAACATAATGTGTTCACGGATGCAAAATTTAGGGATAAAATCATGGTTTGTTGCAATGTATGTCATTAGTGCAATGTCTTCAAAACAGCCAAAAATGGGCTTGACGCATGTGCTTGTGAGGACTGGGGGGTTGCCGTTTCTTAGGGTCGATCTATATGTAGCACCACTGATCAGCTGTACCTAACCTGGGATTTTCCGTATTTCCATGTAGACCTTTTACCTAAAACCGCCACACGCAATGTAAAGCTGTGGCCGGACATCTACCCAGAAAGCTTCTAGGCCCAACTAATTTCCCAGAAGCACCTATCGCTGACGTCAAGGAATATCCCCGTTCGTCCCTTCTGACTCACGTTACTGGAATCAGCAGGGACACGAAAAAGGGTAGCACCGCGTCCTGACCACTACAGTTCGTGTCCCTTGTTTCGCTTGCACGATTTCGTCAGTGGTTCGCTTAACTCGCCAACGCCCCCTGCGCCTGCACAAAAAATTTCAAGCTATGACTGACGAGGGAAACTGTTACCTCGTTTTCAACGTGGTCAGAGCACTGCTAATTCGTGTGGCGGGGAATGTGTCCGCGCTTCTGAAATTACAGGATGGTTGGACACCACTCACAATGCATTCGTTTCTAGGTACGGTGGTCATTTTTGAACCTCGATACGTGCGTTGGCACGAAAAATCCCGAAATGAACGAACTGGACACGCCCTGACCCGCTCCTATTTGTTTCGTGTTTCGGACTCGACGAACCTATGCAAAGCGCATCTGATCGCATGCTGTCTGCAGAAGCTCTTACCTTTTGACTGACATGGCGTCCGCGTCCGTGGCGAGTAGCAGCCGGCAGACTTCGCCTGGTTGCGATGCGATTACAGCGAATGACCTAGCGAAGCTTATGGCGAAGAAGAGCTCGTTTGAGAAAGCGGTGAAGAACCTGACGGCTCTAGTGGCCTCTCAGTACCCCTCCTCATCGCCGGACGAGCAGCAGAAGGTGAGGTCGCCGTCGCATGTACCAGGAGTTGAAATTCGCACAGATCGTCGCACGTGGTGGATCATGGTCGTGTGCTTGGCATAGAACCGCAGAGCAATCGTATCACATCAGGGTGCAGGCTGGCATGTGCTGTGAGGCATTTACTTCAGTTTTCTCACCACTTTTACGTAACATCTCTTATATTACCTTCGGACGATACACCGTTGGCCCTTCAGATGATCTCAGCTGTCCATCGCGCAGCCACTCTGCTCAAGACCCGCTACACAACACGTGGCTTTTGGGCGGCGGGTCTCGTCCTTTTCCGCGCGGCCAGCACTGTGTTGGGGGAGGGAGCGGAGCGGAACCTAGTCCAGCAGCACATCAAGTCCGCGCAGGAGTTCCTGGGGGAAGGCGGGGATGGGGGTGAAGGCGGAGAAGAAGGTTTGCCACAGGGAGTAGGCGGGGAACGAGGGGACGGGGAAGGGGAGCAGGGAGCAGGGAGGCCAAGAGAAGTGAGAGGAGGTGGGGGAGGCATGCTCGCTGCCGCGTCACCTTCCTTTCAGTTTGAGGGTCAACTGACAGCAGCAGCAGAGCCGCCACGGCCTGATTGGCTGGTGGCTCAGACGCTGCTGGCAACTCTGGCAGCGGTGCAGCAGCAGAGGTGAGTGAGTGAGCGAGCATGCGGCCTCTCGATTGTTGTCAACTGCTCGCTGTGAGGCGTGTTTCGTGAGCTCCATACTTGTTACTGGTCTTGATTGGAAGCTCTGTCACATGTCCTTGGTGTGGGCGGTTTAGTTGGTCTCCTCTGACCCAAAAGTGCCTTGTCCTGTCCTTGTCTATACACGCGTGCACACACAGGGACCTGGATGCCGTTGCTGCTGATAGCAATAATGACAGCAATCCTGAGCGGGAAGACAGAGATCCGCAAGAAGGTCAAACCCCTCATCAAGCCATTGCAGCGCTCCTGCAGGGCGGAACAACGTTGGAGGATCTGCTACGGGATGCGATAGCAAGAGGGGGAGCTGACGACTTGCTGACCCCTGGCCTGGCCGAGGCTCTCGAAGCCAGCATGCAGGCGTCTCAGCCGCCTAGCGCCCCGCCTGCCTCTAAGAGAGCAGTGAAGCAGCTGCCTGTGCTTGTGTACAGTGAGGCTGGCGTGGTGCCGTTGGCCGAGGTTGGGAGTACTGGCGTTAGTGGTAGTACTGGCAGCAGCAGCAGTGGAGGGAAGACTGAGAAGGGGGAGAGTGTTGGTTTGAGAGGGGAGGGGGTAGATGGGGAGGGGAAGGGGGAGGAAGGGGAGGGGAGTGCGGACGAGTGCAGTGTGTGCAGGGAGAAGTGGGAGGTGGGTGACAAGCTGAGGGAGATGCCATGCAGCCATCGGTTTCATGTGGACTGCTTGCAGCCATGGCTGGTGAGTCGAAAAGCCCGAGCTTGTGTGATGCGGTGATCTCACCTGCGATGTTTCCTGATAATGGTTGCATTTTATCTGCTCACGTCACATCCTTCACTTGCATTGTATGTTTCGTACTTGGTGAATAGCCTACCGGGCGTAATGTGATTCGAGGTGTTGTGTTTGTGCTATTTGTTCCGAACAGGATGAGCACAACTCGTGTCCTTTGTGTCGCTACGAGATGCCAACAGACGACCATGTTTACGAGAGGCGCAAGGAGCGAGAGAAGGAAGAGGAGGAAGAACGGAGAGGTGCTGAGAATGCAGTGAAAGAGGGGCAATACATGTACATGTAGTGTAATTCATGAAGTTGGCTGCTTGTAAACCCTTCACTATACCTGTCTCAAATACCATTTTCTCACAAGTGGAGTCCTGGCAATGTCGAGTCTTTCAAGGTCGGGGACTTGAAATTCTTGGCTAGTGACACAATTCGTCCTAACCTGCACGTCCTTTTTGGGACTGCCGCGCAACGCCAGGATTTCTTGGGAAGATCGCATCTACTGCTCCTCTTGTACAAAAACGGGTGCTCCCTCCCATCCCATCCTTGGAACTTGTGTTCATAGCGTGCATTCCAAATAGCTTTTGTAGATGCCCCAACCAGGAGACTCCAGGGGGCCACCTGGCCAGCTCTGGAGGCGAGTGGGAAGAGCAGGAGCTCAGGAGGAGGAGAGCAGTGGAGGTGACGACGAGCGACGAAGGAGAGAGCGGAGATCACTGCGGGGGCCACCCCACACTCGTAGAAGATGTGGGATATAGTCTCTGTGGGTGCGGCCAGGCAGAGTGAGCAAGCTCCCCGGTCTGCGGCGAAGTTGAAGCGCGAACCTGAAGGGAGGGCGCGAGAGTAGAACCGGTACATGACGTCGCGCTGGAGGCTAGGTTGCTCGCGTAGAAAGTCATGGGAGAGGTCGGGGAGGAAGGGAGGAGGAGCGGGGAGGACGTGGATCCAGCGGGTGGCGTGGTCGAGGGGGAGCTGAGTATAGAGCCGGCGACGAATGTCGGCTACGCTGGGGCATCCGTCCTGTAGGATGTCGAGCCGTGCGCCGAGCCCTGCACCTGTATGGAAGGGGTCTGCAAGCCAGGACCCAACGACCAAGGCCTATTTTTGGATTTTAGGCACTCTGATTTCCAGAGTAGTTTTTTTCCCAACTCTGAAATCTAGGGTTGTTCATGCGCCTTACCCTGATTTGTCAGAGTAACCCTATACTTTCAAAAAAAAACCCAGGCACGTTAGAGTAATATTTTTCTCTACTCGGATGTTAGTTAAGTTTGCTGTACCATGACCTTTGTTACGCCTTTTGTACTTGCATTGTGTTTCATTTCCGCGTCGCCCACGTTTCCCCCCTCACTGCGATGTTTCAGAGTGAGGTGTTGGCGGCACCGATAATCTGACTAAGAGCGTGTCTGAAGTGAAATGTCGACGGATGTACAGTTTCGTCGGGGAATGCTGGCGAATCTCAACCCTCGGATTGAGCGTTCCGACCGTCAGGATTCCTCGATGCCCCTCAAAGGTTCGTCGGGGAACGTCGACGTTCACTTCAGACATAAAGAGAGAGGGGACTGGCTGGCATCGTGCGCTGGTTGGGAAAGTTCCTATTACCGTCAAACTACGGTAGCCAATCAGCGCTCATACGGTATTGCCGCCAACACACGACAGAAATCAGGAGAATGATCTCGACGATTCGGGGAAAACCCGCTAAACGCTGGGGGGGGGGGGGGGGGGGTGGGGAGGGGAGGGGGGCGGGGGAGGGGGGGCCGGCAGGTATTCCCTATACATAGTAAATTCGGTCCCCGAAAAGAAAACCCAGGGGCCTCAGAGTGAACTACAGCGTAGCTCTGACGGGTTAGAGAAATCGGAAGTCCCAAAAAAATTACCCAGCGGGTACAGAGTTACTTTCAAAAATGACTCTGATTTTCAAAGAAACAGAGTACTTTACTCTGAAAACGTGAGGCCTGCCAACGACGTGTACCGCAGAGAGGGCACCTATGTGGAAGGTGCCATCTCCGAACGATGGCCGGACGATGAACCGGTTGGGGAGGACACGATGAAGAGAGACTGAGAGCGACGACGGAGGGAAGAAGGCCGTGACCTGAAGAGCAAGAGTGGGGGAGGTCTCGGAGTCTTCTTTAGGGACGAACCACTCCCCAAGGGCTGCCGAGGGGGGAGGGTGGGAGCGAAGGGCTGACCACCAGGGCTTGGGGATAGCACGGACGAGTTCTCGCCAGACTCTTTGTCCAGAGGAGTTGGCTAGGGGAAACAATGAGGTGAAATGTTTAGAGGAGACCACGCCAAGCGAGTGAAAGATGAGAGAGATCAAATGGCCAACGCAAACCTGCATAGAAAGGAGGAAGCGTTCACGCATGAGAATCCCGAAGGGCTTCCCGTTAGGTTTGAGAATAAAACCTAACGGGTTCACGCGTGAGACTCCCGTTAGGAGGACTCACCCTCCTCCCGGTTTGAGATCCTCCAGCTCATACTGGCCAAGTTCCTCATTGCTTTCAAAATTTTCTTATGGCGCAGGAAGAAACAATCAGTGAAAAAACAACTACGTTCAGCCGCTCGCATCAAGCTGGCCACTCGACTTCGCTTCCTCGTCTTCGACCACAACGGAACCCCTTGTCATAATGAGGAATGAATGGTTCCATTGATGTTGGTTGGGGTACATATAACAAACCCTAACTTCTGTACCCCCTAAGACAAACCTCACTACAGGCTACAACATTTGACACACCCCCATAGCCTAAGTGAGGGGTGTCTAGCAAAATCAAAAAGAGTACGGTCACAAGACCAGTCCAAAAGAAAACAAAGCTCAGGGTGGATCACAACGTCACCACACACTCTGAGCACAAGCAACAGTGGCCACAAGGCCAGTCCAAGAGATCACAAGTATATATAGCAAGTGTACAGACGAAGCAGGCAATAAACTCAAGTCTACACATGACTAGAACCTGAGTCAACAAGGCCTAACTGCACACAACACCTCTGGTGGTCACAAGGCGGAAGCGCCTTGGTGAAGATGTCTGCAGTGTTGGCCTCGGACTCCACGAACTCGAAGCGAGCCTGTCCACGTCTCTGCAACTCTCGCAGAAGAAAGTACCTGACGTGAATGTGCTTCACTCTGCTCTCCAGTCGCGGCTCACGACAGAGGAGGATCGACGCCTTGTTGTCAGTAAACAAGGTCGGTGCAGAGCTCGGCCGCTCACCAAGGTCGGCGAGCAAGAAGGTCAACCACCGCAACTCCTGTGCCGCCATGGCACCAGCGTAAATCTCAGCCTCAGCTGTAGAGGTCGAGACAGAAGAGGAGCGCGTGGAACGCCAGGAAACAGCTCCAGAACCTAGACTGAAACAGTACCCCTGAGTAGACCTGTGAGTCTCAGCGTCGTCAGCGTAAGAGGAGTCACAGTGACCAGTGAGTACGACAGACTGCTGCCCTCCAAGAACTAGCCCCACGCCTGATGTAGTCGCTAGGTACTTCGCCACCCTCACAGCTGCCGTCCAGTGAACAGGACGGTGTCTCCCTGGCGCAACAAAGCGCGCAAGGATGCTGAGAGGGAAGGCGAGGTCCGGGCGAGTACAAGTCATCAGGTACATGAGGCAACCCACAAGCTCTGCGTAGGAACCACTAGGCTCAAACGGCTCGTCAGGAAAGGGACCAGTGAGTCTGTGGTCAACAGCGAGAGGTGTGCGCTGTACGGTGGAGTGCTGAAGCCCGAACCGCTGAAGGACCTGCTGCACCATGTGTGACTGTGAGAGTGTAATGGTGCGAGCGGCTCTGTCCCTGGTGATCTGCAGGCCAAGGTAGTGGCGCAGCTCACCAAGATCAGTGCACGTGTGTCTCTTCTGCAGTTCGGACTTCACGTCTGCCAAAGCAACCCTGTCCGGAGTGGCGAAAACGAGGTCGTCGACGTAGACCAGGACAAAGAACGGTGTGGAGCCACGACGAACGAACAGCGACGGGTCGGCAGAAGACGGCTGGAACCCAAGGTCAGAGAGGGTAGAACGCAGAGTGTCGTGCCACTCACGAGGGGCCTGGCGAAGACCGTAAACAGGTCGCCTCAGCCTCCACTGGGTCCCAGGAGGGAAAGTGCCATTGAAGGTCGAGGGACGACGCAACCAAACCTCCTCGTGTAGGCTGCCCTGAAGGAAAGCAGTGGAGAAGTCGAGAGAGTGTAACTCGTAGTCTCTCTGTGCTGCTACGTGTAGTAACACCCGAAGAGTGGTCATCTTCGGGGTAGGTGCGAAGGTCTGAAAGAAGTCAACTCCCTCGCGCTGACTGAAACCTCTAGCCACGTAGCGCGCCTTGAAGACCGGGGGAGATCCCGGTGGCCGCTTCACCCTGTAGATCCACATGCCGTCGACTACATTCGCCCCAGAGGGGGGGAACCTCATCGACGTAGGTGCCTGTGGATCTGTAGGAGGCCATCTCTGCGTCCATGGCAGCTCTCCACTGAGAGGCCCAAGGCCCTGACACTGCCTCAGCGTAAGTGTGAGGAGTCGGAATGTCAAGGGCGTCGGGGTCACCCTCAGGGGCGAGGAGCATGGCACAGAGATGAGGGGAAGCGGCCGCCAGGAACTCTAGCTCAAACTGCCTGTCCTCTAGGGCGTCACAGCCAAGGGCAGACACACCCCCGACGGCCAGAGGACTGGTAGGAGGAGCAGCCACAAGCGTGGTGGCGTAGTCAAGGCGACGGGTAGAGGCAAAGTCAGTAACTGCGGCAGTAAGAGCGGACACAGAGGACACAGAGGCACGAGGGTGAGTAACAAGAGAGGCGAGAACACGAGAGAGAACAGGACGGTACGTGCGGTAGTAGTCAGTGACGGGAGCAGGGAGCGACACGGTGAGGGCCGACTCAGGAGGAGACGGAAGCACAGACTGAGACGGACGAGGTGGACTAGAACAAAGTAAGGCAGTACGAAGGTCAGTGAAGAGAACAGGAGACGAGGGACGAGCACGAGGGGAGCGACGAGTAGCCCAAGAACGAGACGGAGGAGGAGAGGACAAAGGCGGAGAACTGGAGAAAACAGCGAGGGAGGAGTCAGGCGGAGGAAACGTGGGACCGTAGACAGGAGGAGAGGCGGAGGAGGGAGGAGAAGGGGAGGGGAGACCAAGGGCCCGAAGACCCGAGACAGGAGGAGGAAGTGGCTGCTGCTGCTGCTGCTGCGACTGCTGCTGCTGCGGACGCGGCTGCTGCTGGGACTGCTGCTCCTGCGGGTCCAGCTGCTGCTGCTGCTCCGCCAGCCGCTGTAACTCCCTCTCCTCTCTCTCCAACGCCAGCTGCTCGTCACGGGCACGGCGAA